TGCATGTGATGATAATAGAAATGGTACTATTCATGCTCCTGTTGAGGGAGAGGCTAATAATCTAGTCTCCTGCTAGCCACCAGAATACCCACGTATGAGAACATCACTGGAAATCAGGCTTCATTAATACCGGTTTCTATGAGACTACTAGCTTTGAATTAAAATACCTTAGAGACTGTAGAAGAATTAGAGGTCAGTAAGCAGAAGGTGAGGTGACTATTTTTCTTTAGATGTTGAATATTAATAGAGGAGTACCAGGTGTAAGGAAAACACCCATGTGTAATAAATTATAGCTAAGAAGCCCTTACCTTGCTTTTTTGGGTTTTTTTTGTGGCTACCCAGGTTTTGATTATACTGGCAAAACTGGAAAAAATAGTTGTGCGTTTCTCACACATACACCAAAGTGCTGACAGGACTACTCGGTGACCCCTTGGTGTTGCATTGATGCAATATATCTGCTTTCATCATAATGACTGTATCCTAAAACAATTCTATTAATTTATAAACCTGTTGTTATTCTCTATTGTGTGTTTAATGTTGGTTTAGCAAACCACCAGTGCCTGTGTGCTGTGAGGACATGGAGGATGCTCTACCGTTCCCCAAGGCAGATATCATACATAAGTTCTTGGAAGACTGTTTAAATGACAAAAATAAGGTCAGTAAAATTGAGTATTTATTTCTGAGTGCACTCAAAATATGTAAGGCTGGTAAATATTAGAAGGGGGAATACCTGTAAATTGTTTTTTCTTCTGTAATACACAAAGTAGGAAGTCTAACTGCAGTAGTTTAGTCATATTTGAGCATGATGAATTCATACAGTTATTAAATCCTATAATCAAATCCTTGGTCACAATTATGATTAAGAAGGCATCTAACTATAAAATGCTTTGCTTGTAATAGTTTGACTTTTATACTCTGTTTTGTTTAAATAATAATTTTCCTGCCTCGAGTAAAGGAAGACATTTTTTTGTTATTGATGTATTAAATACTACTAATTTCCTTGCCTGGCTGATGTACTGTTGGGTATGAGTCAAGTTCAAGAGGTAAGTTAAGTAATATGTTTCATATTATTTATGCTGTTGCACTGGAATTGGATCATGGATTGAATCTACTCTTTTGATTATTCATTATTTTACTTCTATTCTTACATATTAAGCACCTTCTTGGCAGTCTTAATATTGTTCAGTCTTTCATTTTGATTGTTTGAACCCTTTATCCTTTTCTCAGCTAGGGAGGTGAGCACTGGGCCCAGTATTCTAGTTGAAAGGCATAGTATTAATTTATGTACTGGTATCTTTTTCCTTTACTTTCTGCCCTGCTGTCCTTGAATCTTAACTGCTCTAAGATTCTGTTTTCCCATCTTGTAGTAAAGAGAGCATTACCCTTTAAGTTTTTCCACTGTGACACATGCTTCTGTTTCCCTAAGGAGTTAATTGACACAGAAGCTAACAATGTGTGTGAGTAATTCAGATTGTTCTCTGAATGGTGCTGCACTGTATTTCATCCTTCTTGCTTCCTGTTCTCTTGGTTCTCCTAGATCACCAGACATTTCTAGACATAAGTATTTCTACAAATTATATCCACAAATTTTTGTCACCTTGAGTTAATTTGCTTTTTTGATTTAGAATGAGCAGAGAGCATATAGATGCTAATTATTTGAATAAATCTATGTTTATCATCAAGGAAGCTTACTTGCTCTGTCAGTTATAAAATGTTGAAACATGTTCCAGCACTGCTGTTGTAGCATTACAAGGACCAATAGTCTTAATATTCTTGAATTATTTTACATAAGCCGGGGCTGAGGCCTTTCTGTGTTGCTTCACATCTTCCTAACAATGTATGTATTTACACTGATTTCACTGACCGTACAGTGGTATAAATTAAGACAAACCAGTGTAGCGTCATACACGTACAATTTATAAATAGACCTTTAAAGAATAGGTAGAAGGAAACACTCGCAGAAATTAGCCTTTAACGTGTTTCAGGGAAACTTCAAAAGTTGTTTGTTTTATTTTGTTTCGTTTTATGTGCACTGCAGTACACTGCAAGACCAACAAATTCTTTGGGTTTTGGTTTAGGAAAATACTTTTTCTGGAGGTCATCATCCCAGGCCCCTTGAAACTTTGAAGCTAATGTTGTTTAAACTTCAAGCAATTCAGGGAAGTTTAAGCCAGAACACAACTGCTGAGCAAAAGGAAGAGTTTGAAAAAGTGAGTAGGCTGTTTCCTTATGTTGTATCTTTTCAAAATTGATGTGCTGTGTACCTTTCTGAGAAAAAAACACTAGTCCATTTATGGACTTGGTTTCCTGGTCATGTAAAACAAGCACTGCCAGCAGATTCAATCCAGTTTGCGTCGGGAGCATACGCTCAAGACTGCTGCGCCCTAAATCCCCTGTGCCTTGTTGCTGCTGTTGGAAATTGGAGGCTCTGTGCTATGTTACTGTTGTAACATAAACGCTGTTTGCAGGGGCTGCATGTGGCAGGTCAGTAACTGCAGAGTGGCCTCGGCGGTGCTGCGGAAAGCAGTGCCTGTGTACCAGGAGATGGCGACATTTCAGGCGGGCCTGCCCGAGGAGAGCAGGCTGTGCTCCCCTCCGCTGCTCTGGCAGTAGCTGTGTTCTGGAAATGTGGTCTTCTGATAGTATCCCTATTAATTCTAGGCTTTCAGGGGCGTGTACCAAATTTTTAAAAAGCCAAGTATTCTCAAATGCTCTATCCTTGCCTCCTTTGGCTTCAGTGAGTTGGTATTTTCTGGCACTTTTGTTTCAAAATTATTTAATAGACTTTATTATCTCTTTACCTTTTTCATAATGTTGCTTGCATGCAGTTCTTAAGCCCTATGTCCTATACTCAGTAGCGAATGAAATGCTCCATAAATATGTGGATCAGACAGGCAGGGTGAACGGACCGACAGGAACCTCATGAAATTCCACAGGGGCGAGTGCAAGGCTGTGCACGTGGGAAGGCAGAAACCCTTGCAGCAATCAGGCTGGGGACTGCCTGGCTAGGGAGCTGCTCTGTTGAAAATGCCCAGGAGGTCTTGGTAGGTACAAGCAGAACATGAGCCACCAGCATGCCCTGGCAGCGAAGGAGGAACGGCAGGGCCTGGGCTATATGGACAGGAGCACAGTCGATGGATCAAGAGAAATGATTGTCCCTCTGTATCCCCCAGCACTTAGTAGACCACATCCGTAATACTGCATCCAGGTTTAGGCCCCTCGCTTTGGGAGAGACAATAAGCTGATGGAGGGGCACCTAGGTGGTTGGGGGCTAGAGTGCTTGTTTGCGGGGGAGCTGAGAAAAGTGGGCTTGTTCAGGCTGGAGAAGAAGTTTTGGGGGACCTAATAGAAGTCTTCCTGCACCTATGAGGAGGTGCATCAAGAAGATGGAGCCAGGGTCTTCATAGTGGTGCATGGTGGAAGGATGAGAAACAGGCATAAATCAAAACAGGAGGTTCACAGTGGATGTTGGGAGAAACTTTTTAACCCTGAATGACGGCCAAGCACTGGAACAAATTGTTCAAGAGAGGTTGTGCAGTCTCTGTCTTTAGAGGTTTTCAGGGTTTGACTAGATAAAGCCCTGAGCAGCCTGCTGTAACCTCGTAGCTGCCTCTGCTTTGAGCAGGAGCCCACCTGAGGGCCCTCCCAACCTGAATAACTTCTGTTCTACAAAGTTGTTAGCGATACTTTCCAGTGCAATGTGCTATAAAAATGCCATGGTTTCTGTCATATTCAGCTACTTTTCCTTCCCGTAGGTAACAATTCTCTTTTGTTCTTTTTAAGCTTTCTGAAAAAGCAGAAGCTGAATTAAAACTGTGTGACAGTGAGGTAATCCCTCTTACTAATTCTATTCAGAAGTAAGTGACCATTGATTTTTCTGACTTTTCACTGTGTTCAAAAAGTGCAGAAAAGGAATGATAAATTAGCTGAGACTTGTCATGTAATCTGAAAACTTTGAGTAAACCAGTAGTGAATAATTAAAAACACGGTACTCCCCCGCTCCATGAACTACCTAGTGAACGGTTGCAGAGATGTGCTTTGTAAATCAACATTTGTATTTCATGTATGTCAATAGATTAATTATTGCTACACATAGATGGACTCTAATCAGGCTTGGAGAAGTTTGTAATATGGGTAGAAGTATTTTCTTACTTTTTTCACTACAGTGGAGAAAATTATTCCTGAAAACATTTCGTTAATGAAATCAGCAGAGTCCTACTGAACAGTTATAAGTGACTAAAGAAATAATAAGCTTGAGAAAAGGCAGAATGGAAAACAGGGGTTTATTATGTAGAACATTTGTTTCAACAAAACTCAGTGTTGCAGTACAGTTTTATACTGTAATGTAAAATTAAAAGATTTTTTAATTTAAAAAAATACACTAACTTCCAGTATTGATGTGCTATTTTATAACACTGTTTTGCAGTGTTTACACCCTGTGTTAAATACCCGTTCTGTAATAATTTAATAGAAACTGTGTGTTTGTGTGAGCACCTGTATTTGAGAAGATGTGTTTAAAATTTCAGTTCCGAAGTGTTTTACTTTTTTAAAAAAGTCTTAGTGTTTTTTACAGAACAGAATTAAATGGAACAGTTAGAGATGTAAACTGTATATAATACCATTCAAACTGTTAAGCTGTTTGTAAGAAATCGATATCATTTTGTGTTAAATGTAGACAGTAATATATACACTATTGTTAAAGTCTTCATTTTTCCTAATCTAGGGCTTTACACCATTTGTCACGTCTTAGATGTCTTGTTGAAGATAATGGTAACCAACAAGAGCAGACCGATGATCATGAAGATAAACAAGAAAAAAAAGAATAATCTGTGAAGCTGATATCTAAGAATATTTTAATATTGTGTAGTTTAAGTAATTTGTCAGCCCTACTACTAGTCAAAATTTTTTGAAAGCTTAACCAGTGCATGTTCTCAAAATGTTGTATTCAGTATTTCTGTACATATTCATTCTTTTCATTAATTACTTCAAAGCTTAACTGAGTATTAGTGCTTCCAGTAGGACCTAACAATATGTGACAAGAGATCCCACTTTATAGAGAATATTTAATTAAAATAATGCGAACATTTTCATGGAAGAATCTTTGTGTGTTTATAAAAATTTACAAAAAACCTAAACTATTTGGCCAGCTCTAGTCATCACTTCCTTATAGAGCCTGTTAGAAACAGAGGGAACTCAATATCATGTGTAACGTTAAGCAGTAAGGTTTAGCAATAATATAATTACGTAATATTTTCTGCGCTGTTCTTTCTTACGGGACTTGAGTTGATGTAACTGTGTGCTCCTTGTTCCCTGACAACAGACTTACCAAATATATTGTATCAAAAGGTGTCTGAAGTCTTTTTGAATGGTCCCCCTTTCACATCCTAGTAAAGGCTGGTTCCCTGGGGAGAGAAGGCACTTGTTGAGAGGCATCCTGTGCAGGAACACAGAATGTGTGCCAGCTGAACTGCTCCGACAGCTGGTTGTCACTGGTACTGGGAAGTCCTAATCTCCCTTCCATTTTCCTTGGCTTCGTTCTTAGCTTTAGAGCGTATAAAATCCTTCAGTGGGCCTAAATAGGCAGAGAAGTAATAGAATTTGTTTTTTCTTTTGCAGCACAATGGCATAGAATTAGCTCGTGAAAGCCACTGATAGGCACTGGAGCTTGTGCAGGGGAGACAGGAGCAGGACTTATCCCATTTGGCAGCAGCAAATTGAGAGACAAAGAGAAAACCTGTAAGTAGTAATTTGAGTTGTGAACTGAAATATATTGACAGAACGTTTTCTGAGGCTTCTATAATGTAGCCTAGCATTTTATGCTGTCAGTAAACAAAATATGTATGGCAACATGCCTTTCTAGTGAGCCGTTCCCTTTTTATCTGGATATTTATAGGTACACATGAGAAAGCAGGTACCTGAGCATGTACTGATTCTGAGAAATTAAATAGAAACCAGAAGAAAAAGTAGACGGACAACTAGCTATGTATTTCTGCCATCTTCCTGTTAGAATTAGTAAGTAGAGAGATGACAATGACTTCATTTTATGACTGTCACGGCATCATGAGAACATAGGTAGATCATAAGTAATACGTAATAATGTATTTCAGACAGATTTTATTGGTCTTTCTCAAATGCTGAGAGCTAGATCTGAAATCAGAGTACAGAAAATGAAATTACTCAATTACTCCTCTAAAAAACTTTCTTGTAGAAGCTTTTAGAAGGCATGGCATTGCTGAGACATGAAGGTACAAAGCAACCAATACTGTGGATATAACTGTATTAAGACAGTATCTGTTTGCCAGAGGTCATTTTATCAAAGGAATTCAGCTGTGCAAGGGAAGATGAGGGTTTTTCTTGACATCACACATGTCTGAGTGTGGGTTACAATGAATTTGCTCTACTTTTGCACTACTCGGGATGCCACATGTAGGTAGTTACGCACAGTGTGTGTACGCTTCATCATTTGAGCTAGTATACCTCAAACTCTCAGCACAGCTAGTGTGGCACTGCCAAAGCTGTTGTAGCTCTCCTGTTTCTGGAGGGGCTTGTGGCCCATGTAGCTTGCAGCAGAAAGGTAGATTTATTCACCCAGGTGTACAGATACTCCTCGGGGTGCCGGTAGCACAAGCAAGGTGGACTTAAAGCAAGACTTGATGCCCTGAGAGCACTTAGAGGTTATATTCCCCTTGTATCCTCCTTGCAGGGGTGCGTAGGACAAATGTAAAGCATCCTCTGCTCCCTTAGAACTTCTCTTGATGTTAGGGCAGAGTTTGTTTGCTATTTAGAAAGTCTTTTTCATTAATTCCTCCTTGGAGAATTCTCATACCTATCCGTATCTGTGAGATTCCTTGTTCTTTGGAGGTGGTTTTATTAGTCTCCAGATATTTCTCCTTTATCAGTTTAATGTACCTTGATGAAGAATTGCAGTACAACTTTTTTCATTTTTTATGGCACACAGACCTAGGTAACAACTAGAAGTATTGTTGACATTATTGATTATTCATATCTACTGACTTTATATTGGCCACGTATGATCATGGACACTGTGTGAGGCACTGTACAGCACAAGATAAAAGTACCTTAAGTGTATGAAACTAAGCAACAAATGAGTGACACTTTCTAGTTATAAACAGTAGAAATTCAAATAAGAATAGAATAAAATTCTAAAAATACCAATAAAACACCATTAGTAAGTGGAGACAACTGGTTTCAGATAAAAATAATTTTTTTTAAATGCTATCAAGATTTTTATGGCCATTAAAGAGTATTTTAGAGAGGGATTTGATCCCTTACATATCAATAGAAAAAACCTAACTTTTTGGTTGTATATGCTGGTCAGTTTTTGTAATTACAGTTGGAATTTAGTTTGCTGTTAAGTTAGAATAAAGAAGTTGCCACTGAAGAAAGGTAACGGAATACGTAAATCAAGTACTAAACAAAAATTCTTGTCCTTGAGGCTAGATCAGAGAAAAGGAATTTTATTGAACTACAGTCTTCCGTAGTGACAGTGGGAAAAACAAGGCAGGCGGGCAGAAAGACAGAGACCAGGATTTGGAGGAAATACTAAAATAAAATAGCAGGACTAGATAGAAGGAGAGTCACTGTTCTGAGCAAATGACAAGAACTGTTTGCTAAGGATGTACACAAGTATTTGTGATCCTATGTATTTGCATATACAGGAAATCTTTTTATGAGGGCACTTCCTGAATGACAGTGTATATATATCAGTAAAACGGCATTGAGGGAAGTAAAGGCTTTGATGAAGACAAGTGTTGTGCTCTTAAATCTTGTGACGATCCTATCTGTGGTAAGACACTGACTTGGCACGGTGGGAGGAGAAAAGATGGGATTTTTGTCTTGGGGATTTTTGCCCTTTAAAGGCTTAATGAGAGAGTCCATTGTGATACTGGTCTTTAAATGGAATGACTGTATTCTGCAGCTATCTTTTCCTCTGTAACAGTCCATTTGCATTAGCAAATCTCTCTGTATTCACACTGATACAAAAAGGTGCTGATATAGGAAAACTTGATTTCAGGCTCCAGATATCATGAAGACTAACAGTGCTGCCAGCAGAGGCTTAATTTGGCTACAGTTTGCACCTGGTTTAGTCTGAAAAGGAGGATCTGAAAAACTGCAAACCCCATAGTCACTCATTGTCAACCTAGTAATTCTTTTCCTATGTAACTCTTGACACTGCCAGAGCAGTTGTATTTGTTTTCCAAGAGATGCTTATAGATTCTCACATATATATATATATATAAAAAAGAGTATCTGGAATTCTGAAAGCCTTGAAAATAATGATGTATATTTTCTTGTTGATCTTGGATTCTGTGATCTACCCTGGTTTTCAATTTTTGTGTCCTTACTCAAAATATTTGGTCAACTTTACAGTTGGTAGGTCTCTCGCTATGCAGAGAGAATTGCTGTTCAAAGGGAAATGAGAAAAACTTTTCCTTAATTTTAATTCACCTGATCCTGCTGTTGCCAATTTGAATAGCTGAGCTTTCACAGCTCTTCAAGAACAGAAAAGAAGGGACTGCTGAGGAGAGGTGGGCTCTGTCTCATAAAGAAAAATAAGTCCTTCTTTAAGTTTAGGCTTACCAACTTAGAAAGGAAGGTTTTAAACTAGAATTAATGGGGACTGATGACAAAAGAATGTGTTATCACTGGAAAGGTTACCAGAGGCATAGTAACTGTGGATATAGGGCTTTTATAAAAAGGATTGAAGCAATATGGAAAACAAATGTTAAGCAGACATATTCACTAAGTTGTCTATACTAGTGCAGGCTGTATGGAAACCAAATGGAAGAATGTACAAGGTTCTATACAAAGCTGTGATATAGGCAATACAAATGTTTACTTGGTGGGATATTTCATTTGTTAATACAGGAAAAAAGTGGAGGTGGCTCCTGAAGAAAAGGGAATGTATGTTTCTCTATGAATATTTACCTTTGTATTGAAGTCTAGAATATAGAGGGAGATGATCTGTTAACAGTATTTTTCTTCTTTTATTGTCATACTTTCATGTTGAGGACCTACCATTAAGACCACCAAACCAAGAAGGATAAGATGGAAAAACATTTTTGTAAACTGACAGAATAAGTTGCCTTGAGGAGATACTAGTTAACCAAATATTTGTTGGGAAGAATAAACTGAATACAGAGTATCCAGGGTATTTTTAGACTAGGATGATGTCAGGTTTTGATACAAAAGGTGGAGGTTAATACAAGAATTTTCTCACAAGGTTTTCAAGATTTTTTTGAATGGAAAAGAAGACTAGAAAAAAGCAACTGCAAGAAATGCAAAGATCTGTTTGCAAAATCTTATGAAAAAAGTCTAGGAAAAAGGTGCTCAGAAGTTTGGCAGTTCGTGAAAATACATATATTTAAGATATAGTTGTAGGATATCCTAATGTGAAACAGTGAAAATAAATGTAACATGTTTTGTAGTCCTCAGTGGTCTTCAAGAAGGATGCATTACAGGAATAGCTAGAATTGTCCCTAAAGATGAGTCATCTTGGACTTTTGTGCTTTTTGGAAAGTCCAAAGCACAATGAGATACAAGGAGGAAGAGCTGTCAAAGAAATAAAATAACCCAAAAGTTCCTTATTGCTTATGAAAGTAAACGATAAGTCCCTTACTGATATAAGGGAGGACCAAGGAAAATTTTGTCCATGACCTCCTTGCAGAGAGTAATAAGTTATGTCAGTGGAAGTGTAATGTTTACTTAAAACATCAGTGGCAATGGGTGGTGGATAAAACACAGGGAAGACATGACTGATAGCTCTTACGGAAGCTACCTGTGTTCAGACTGTGCCTACTGGTGT